TCCAAGGGAAAAATCAATTTGTTTTATAGCTTTAAGTAATTATATTTTTGTACACATAATTATGGCATTTACTTAATACTGTACATACTCTCAGAGGGTACAGTTAACAATTTATCATGTACCTTCAGCAAGTAACTCTTAAAAAAACTCAGTACTAAGATATTTTCACATCTCAGAGATAAGCTATAAACCATGGTTTACAAACTACAATGCCTGAACCTATGCAATATTCTAAGCCATGATGTGTTCATTGCTTTTGGCTTAGCATGTTGTATGAGCCAAATTAACAATTTTCACATCTCAGAGATAAGCTATAAACCATGGGTTACAAACTACAATGCCTGAACCTATGCAATATTCTAAGCCATGATGTGTTCATTGCTTTTGGCTTAGCATGTTGTATGAGCCAAATTAACAAGCAAGCATGAAAGACAGGGCACAGAAGTTTCGTATCAGCAAGCCAGCATAGCCAACACACATTCTAGCTGTCCGATACAATCATGTGTCAGCGGCACTATGTCAGTAAACATTCATCAACAAAAGATGTAATTGCATCATCCTAGAAAATTATTCCATGGAACAAGACAAAGATATGCCGTGGGCAGAACAGAGAAGACGAATCACAATACACTGAAGTCTTCCCATTTCCAGACAATAAAGAATCACCCATATCTTTGTAGCAGAAAGTTTGCAACATAGTAAATCCAGAGTATTACACAGCAGTCTGTAATTAGTTAGAACAGAATTGCTCCACTTGCTTTACATAGAATACCACTACTGAGCATATCATTAGAAGGAAAAATACTATTAAAGAAGTAATAACTTCAAATAAAACTGCCAAACACTTTCAGAGGAAGCTGATTTACAACTCCAGTGACTACAAAAGGAAACCCACTGACTGACAAGTCCCAAAACACAAACACCTACATCAGGTTTACAAAGACAACCTGACGCAAGCCTCCATGCATTTTCCCAGATAGTGCACATTTCACCAAAGGAGAGATAACAGCCAGAGGCTGTTACAGATAAGCCCCAGAAGTGCCAAGAAATAAACATGGGAAAAGAAAATGAGTATCTTCGTGGTACATTTACAACCGGTGGGTGGGGAGACCGAACAAGCTGATCCTGACTGGAGAACTTCCGCAGAAAATGTAGCGCTCTGAGAGAGGCCAAAGGACTACTGCTAGTAGTGGCTTCGTCCTCCCACTTCACCTGTCTCACCGTTTCCACCTGACAGCTCACAGGTTGCCGGAAGACAGGGAAATGCGCGCCCCACAAGAGCCCGGGAACCCCAGCTGCGCTTCTAAGGAGAAGCTGCAGTTCCCCCTCTGATTTCAGAGCAAGGCAGGGGACGCTTAGCCCAGCGATGGGGCTGCTCAGCCGCGTCCCCGGAGGCCAGGTGAGCCGCCAGGTGAGAAAGGAAGGCGCCTTTCCCTTGAGGAGCGAGGGGCCGCGAAGAGGCGCCCGGGCGAAGTTGGTCCTCCCCCTCGCCGGAGGAAGCGGCACTGCCAAGCAACGGGCAGGGAAATTAAGTGGAAGGGCGCCCCCCACTAAAAAATCCCCCAGCCCACGCGGACGGAAAGGCAGGGGACCCCGGGGGGCTGCACCTCCGCTCCCCTGATTTTAGCACAGCTCCAGCGCAATTCAGGCTCGTGCGCTCCCCGGGAGCGAGCTGTCATCGCTCCGGCGTTGCAAAGCGGGGGAGACGGAAGGCATTCGGGCCCCGCGGCGGGTGCGGCCTCTGCTTGCGGCCTCTCCCCGGCGCTCACCTCAAGGTGGGTCCCACACAGGCCGTCTCTGTGCTCTCGATCTCCTGCAGGATCCGCTCATGCTCCGGCAAGCTCTCCGCCATCTTGCATGGGAGGGAAGCGGGGCAGGGAGGGAGGGAGGCAGAGAGAAAG